CAGCAGGAGAGGAAAGCAGCCCCAGATGGGGGGAAGGTGCTGGTTTGAGACCCCCCAGCACACCCCCATCAGTGCAGAGCTGTGCAGCCAAACCTTCAGCCTCCTGTTCCCTGCTCTGCTGCTCCCTCCCCATCGTTTGCTCAACCCCATATCTCTGTCTTGCACATGCAAAACAGGGCTCATCAAGCCTGACCTTTTTTGGCTGTTTTGAACGTTAAGGTGCAATGGGGAAAAACCCCAGAGGATCTGCTGGTGCCTTTTCAGCTCAGCTTTACCAAAAGGGGTGATTTGCAGTGCTGGTAGGTTGTGGGTTTTTCTCCTGTGCTGTGTTAGAACTTGTCTGCGACCTGTCAAATTCATCCTCCTGAGTGCTCAGCACAGAGGCCACAGAAGTACAAAATCCCCATCACTTGCTCTGCTGAGCTGTGATCTGGTCAGTGAGGCTTTTCTGGGCTACATTTACACTAAAATCACAGTCCTTTCTCCAGCAACACCAGCCCTTCAGTGGCTGCATTAGTGAAACCCTGGGTGCTGGTTTTTCTGCCGTGGCAGGACAGAGGCTTTGGCTGGGGAGTTGTAGCCTTGGTGCCAGTGGCTTGGGAACTGCCCTGCAGGGGTGGGTTTGGAGCAGGAGCCACCACATCACCTTCTGCTCGCATTTCCAGCAGCCCTCTCCCAGCTTAGCCCAATATCTTTAGGACTAAGGTACTGAGCTCTGTGCCCCAGATCACCTGCCAGCTCTGTAAAACTGCACAGTATTCCAGACCTGCATCTGCTTTCTGCCAGTCCATTCTGGGGTGCCTAAATCTCTTGGATCCCTCAGGAATTTCCTAGACCCAAAAGGCTGCACTGAGCCAATGGAGGGAGCTTTGAGCATGCTGCTGTCAGGCTCCTGCAGAGCTTGTGCAGCTGCTAGGTTTGGGATGATGAAACCAGCCACGTTGACATTTCCTTTCTAGGTGTTGCAAGAGGCCTGTCTTAGACACCTCCCCAGGCAACATTGGCCCACAGACTTCAAGCTCAGGATTAAACAGACAGAGGAGGTGAAGGAGCCATGTTCCAGGCCACAGGACCTGCCAGCCCACCTCCAACCCACGTACGTAGCATCCCCTCTGCTTTGTCTGGGAATTTCAACCCGGGTTTTGGTCCTTAGGGATGGAGGGTTGTGCACAGAAGCTGTATTCCAGGCTTGACATTGTAGGGTGATCAAAGGCACAGTCGCTGCTACTCAAACAGCCACACTGGGGCCAGTGAATGTTCCAGCAGAAGGTGCTGTTTGCTGAGCACATTGCAAGGCCAGTGTCCAGGCCCTGGTCTGTACAGAGCTGCTCTCCTGTCTGTTTGTTTGTGTTTCCATGGCTTTCTGTGCTCACAATGGAGAGCATGCGAGCTGCTTGGGGTTGCAGTGATTGGAGATGGAAAAACATAAAGGCTCAAGAACATCTCCTGCTGGGACAGGATATGGCCCTTCCCCGAGGGAGGATGTATCAGATATGGAATAGATACCGTGCCTGATGGGAGCCAGGAGGCTTCTGAGAAGTGACAGCAGCACTGGATTGCCTGGAGCCTTGGGAACGGATGTAGCCCAGCTCCAAAGAGGCAGCATTTTCTTCAGCTCTGCTCAGCTGAGCCTGGAAACTATGCATCAGATCCTCCCCCCAGGAGGAACACCTGCGGGTGTTTTACCAGGGATGGAACTGGTTTTGCAGGGCCCAGAGTCTCCTCACTGCCCACCTCCCTCTGTTGGCTTGGGCTTAACTCTTCCAGCCCTGTGGGAGGGAGGGGAAAATCACAGCCCTGACCTCAGTCAATGAGCAGCTGGGAAACGTCTGAAGAAGCAGCTCAGTGAGAGTTTCCTGTGCCTCTCTTAGACAAACTGTTTCCAAAAATACAAAGGAGACACGATGGAGAAGGACAAAGCAGGAGGAATGGGGGTGAGGATCGGGCTGGGGACAGCGAGGAGGGGCAGTGCTGGCCAAGCAGAGCCAGACGAGGAGGAAGGCCAAGGAGGCAGAGGGGTGGTGGTTTGGGGTCACACTGCCCCAACATTGGGGACAGAGGGTGCAGAGGGTGAGCCAGTCTGTTGAAAAGTGGCCCTGGCTGCTCCACCTTGCTAAAAAATGGGTGTCTGCCTATTTGATCCTGCCTGTCTGAAAGGAGAGGGGAGCATTTCCACCAGTGCCAAGGCAAGCTGACCTTTGGGTGCTGGTGCAAACAGGCAGCCTGGGGAGGGTGCAGGCAAGCAAGGGGATGGACTGGGAGGTGATTTGTGAGCTGAGTTGTTGCAGCTGCAGAGGGGGGGGGCATGCACTGAGCCCCTGCTCTGACATCTGGGGGGCAGGGGTACAGACCCCTCAGTGCTTGGATCTCTCTGCCCTGTTGCAGTTGTAGGGTCTGAGTAACATCTGCCCCCACCCAGCTGCAGAACACCCTGGGGAAGGTCTTCAGCTCTGATCATGCCCCCTCCTGCCTTCCAGACACACACACACACACACGAGCCTGCAGGGACTCTGAGGGTTTGGGTCTCTCAGGAGGCTTCTTGTGCTGTGGGACAGGCTGGTAACAGGGCTGGGGGAGGAACTCAGAAACAAAACATCTGCAGAGGGGGAACCAGGACAACGTGTTCCATGAGAGCCAGGGGCACCCCAGGCTACCCTGGGGGTCTGCCTGGCAATCTCCCACTCTCAGACCCACCCTGGCAGCAGGGGCAGGAGCAGCATCTGGCACCAAAGCAGAGCTGCAGTTAGCAGATGCATAGCCCAGCAGGTGAGGATGTGCCAGAGCAGGTCACGGTGAGAATTTGGCCAGGAGCTCCTGCTGCAGCAGCTCTGCAAAGCCCTTTCCCCCTCTCTGCCCATCACTGGCCCGAACTGTCCCCCAGGGATGTGGAAGCAGGTTCCCTTGGCTTGGCTGGGGGACAACAAGGCTAGTGCCAGCCCTCTGTGGCCCCAGATGGGCACGGTGGTTGCACTGGGCAGCCAAGGACAGGGATCAATGTCTGCAGAGGGTGAGAGCTTCCATCAGTGGTTGCTGGGAGCCAGGGAGGGATGTCACCCTGGGGACATCTCCTGGATCTGTGCTTGGGTGTTACACCACAAAAGAGGTCATCTCTACCTCAGCCATGGAGAAACAAAGCCAGGACTATGTCCAGGACAGAGGTCCCAGTGAGCAGTGGTGGATGGGAGGTGGCTGCTCTGCCCTCAGTCCTGGGCAGGTCCCACAGCCTCCTGGTGGAGAGTTCCTTCTCTGCAACACATAACTGTTTTTTCCTCTTTTTTTTTTTTGTATTTTCCTCTCCTCTCTGGGAGCACCACAGCACAGGAACTAACTGGAATACAAGGGCCTGACAGAGGTCATGGCCTCGGGGCAAGTTCAGAGGTGGTCACCAAAGATTCCACACAGCCAGGCAGAGGCTGCTGGTGTGCCCCAGGGTCCTGCAGCCCATCCTCTGCTCCTCCTCCTGAACAACAACTCAGTGCTGGGCTTGTCAGTCCAAGGTCTTATTTTGGTTTCTTTTCTTCCCTTCTTAGGAGGCAAAGAACAACTCAGGAGGCAGCACCGTGCAGCGCTCCAAGGTACCTGCAGTTTTGTCACATCCTACTGATCCACTGGGAGAGGGGAAGGATGGGAAGCCTGAGGCCCAAGCACCAAACCAGCCCAGCATCAGAGGAGCAGAGAAGGGAGGGTGAGGGGAGATGGGGCTGCTCCATGTCAACCAGTGCTCCAGCAAATGTTTGTTCAGTCTGGAGAGGGTAAGACTCCAGGGAGACCTTAGAGCAGCTTCTAGTGCCTGAAGGGGCTCCAGGAAAGCTGGGGGAGGGACTTGGGACAAGGGCAGGGAGGGAGAGGACAAGGGGGAATGGATTGGAACTGGAAGATGGGGGAGATTTAGGTGAGACATGAGGACAAAATTCTTTGCTGTGAGGGTGGTGAGAGCCTGGCCCAGGTTGCCCAGGGAAGCTGTGGCTGCCCCATCCCTGGCAGTGTTGAAGGGCAGGTTGGATGGGGCTTGGAGCAGCCTGGGCTGGTGGGAGGTGTCCCTGCCCATGCAGGGGGTTGGATCCAGATGCTCTAAGGTCCCAACCCAAACCATTCCATGATTCTCCCCTTGCCCAGTCCTTCAGCCTGAAGGCACAGGTGAAGGAGATGTGCACAGCCTGCCAGAAAACCGTCTATCCCATGGAGAGGCTGGTGGCAGATAAGTTTGTCTTCCACAACTCCTGCTTCTGCTGCAAGCACTGCCACACCAAGCTGAGGTGAGCTGGGACAGGGACAGTCCCTGACAGGGAGGGGGACGGGTGCCTCTGCAGCTCTGCCTAGCCCGGGTGGGGGAGGCCCTTCCAAACAGTGCACCCACCCACCCATCACAGCCCTTCCTCCTCTTGGGGTGTAGCTAAAGACCCCAGCTCACCATAGCAAAAAAAGAAAGGGGCTTATCTGCCTGTGTGGTCCCACGTGTCAGCTACAGCCCACCTGGTATGGATAATGGGGTTCTATTCCTCAAGAGCAGGGGGGGAACTCCAAGGTGATGCAGAGCTGAGCCACAGCTTCCTCCTGGATGAGCCAAGGCTGAGCTGGCCCTGCAGGACTCCCCCTCTTCTTTACAGACCTTTAAGGCTGCTCAGAGCAGCCCCCAACATCCTGAGCTGAGCAGTGGGCCCTTTTTAAGAGTCTTCTCCTGCATGTTCCCCTCCTCCTCCATCCCAGTGCCCTGGAGCCTCCCACTCTTCTCCCCCTCATGCCCGACTAACCCTGCCCTCCTCCCCCAGCCTGGGCAGCTACGCGGCGCTCCACGGGGAATTCTACTGCAAGCCCCACTTCCAGCAGCTCTTCAAGAGCAAAGGCAACTACGACGAGGGCTTCGGGCGCAAGCAGCACAAGGAGCTGTGGGTGCACAAGGAGGTGGAGAGTGGGACCAAGTCGACGTGAGCGGGGCCAGCCCACCCTTCCCTGGAGCCCGGGGGGCGCTGAGCCGGGGGCTGACTGAGCTGATGTAAAGCAAAGGGGACCCAAGGGCCCGAGGGTAGGAAGGGGGGCAGCCCCAGCCCTCTTTGGAGGTGCTCAGAGGGGTCCATAAGGAAGAGGGCAGAGGTGACCAGCCCCCAGAGCTGAAGCATCTTACTGCTGAGATGCCCCCCACGGCAAACCCAGCCCGACCCAGCCTGAAAGCCACAGCGGCGCTCCCAGCTCCTGCCACACCAGTCCTGCCTTGCTGGGGCTCTGAATAAGGAGAGTCCTTGGTTTACATCAGCTCAGTTCAGCTGGGATTGTTCAGCCTTAAGGATGTTGTTGCCCTGCAACTGTTCTAACAGTTTTTTTGTCCTTTTTATATTTGCCTTTGATTGGTACGTTCTGCGCTGGCGCCCGGCACGGCCGCTTCACGCGCTCTTTTATTTTTGTAATACAAGGTTTCTGAGCCTTCCCTGTCTTGTCCTGTGTTCCCAGGGGGGCTGGGGAGGTGGGAGCAGTGGTTGGGTCTTGCCTGTTCCTATGGAAGGAGCCTCTGCCCATGCAGGATTAAGCAGGTATTCCTGGACACACGTGCAATGTCGTGACTGACACAGACGGGTCCTTCGGGGGCTGAATCCAGGATTCCAAATTCCCCACCAACATTACACAGCCCAGCTGTAACCACACCCCAGCTTCCACCTGGAGCCCACAACACCCTCAAAGGGATCCCACCATTCTGTGCATTAGATCCACCCCTTTGCCCCTGCACACGCTGGGTGACTTGCTGGCTTCCCCTCTGTCTCCACAAGCCCCGTGTCCTGCCCGTGCGGGCTCAGCTCACGCTCCACAGGCACCAGGGCTGGGCTGATGGGTGCAGGATGAGGTCTGCATTGGATCAAGCCCATCTGCTGAGCTGGGAGGTTTGGACAGCACACTCCACACAGATTAATGAACCCCACAAGACCTGCTAGGCTGCAGCCTAATGCGGTGAAGCCAGGAAAAGCAGGTGAGTCTGTTTTTAATTACTGTTTACTTCCTTTCTCCACACACGATTTGTAAGACTAGCTTGAAAAGCAGGCACTCAGGAACCCCACCTCTTTCAAATGCTACAGGAATTGGGCTTCTCAGAGGCCACACAGCAGAGCAACAGGCTTTGATAGCAGCAGCAAGAGCCCCCCACTCCACCACAGACTGGTAACAGCAGCTCCCACTGAGCACATCCTGTCTGGGAGAATCCAGACAAAGGCATGAAAACAGGAGCTAAGCATTGAAAAGGGAAAAGGATGGGTAGGGGTTGTCCATAGGAGTCCTGGGAGGAACACAGGGAATGTGTAGAGATGTATTCTTGACCCAGGTCACTGTGGTTCTCCTCCCCTCACTGAGTCCTCCTGGGCTCTGGGTGGGCACCACATCCCAGCAGCATCTCCACACTCCCAGACTGGCACAGCTGGCTGCAGCCACACCTGAGCTTGGGGAAGACACATGTTGGAAGATCCCAAGAGCCTGGTGTCCCTCCTCTCCTGTTAGTTCTTTTTAGTTAAGGGCTTTTTCAAGGGCAGGTCTGTCAGCTCTTCAGGGTGGGGATTTACAGCAAGGACTGCACAGAGACTCTGGCAAAGCCCCAGGTGAGTTCAGCCATTTACACCAGGACAAAAGGCTCCTCCTGAGCAGCCCAGCAGCACTTTCTGCCATCAACCAGCAGCCCAGCAGGTGCTGCTCTGAGGGTCTGGGGCTGCTGCTGGGCTTGTGGCCCCTTCCTTCCTTCCTAAGGCTGCCTAGAAAATGAAAGCAGACTCCTGGGTTTCACTTCCTGCTTCTTGTTGGCCTCACTTCCCAATTCCCTCACCTCGTCAGGCTGCTGCTCTTCTTTGCACAGACACAAAGCAATTTTGAACTCTATTAGATGATTTTTGAGGTAGGGGAGAAAAAAACACCCGGCTTTTAAAGGCTGGGTTTTCAGTGTAAAAACAAACAAACAAACATACATTAGACAAAACTAATTACGTTCCATTCATCTCCTTCCTCCCTAAAACTGAAAATTGGGATTTTCTCTAAAGGCAGCAGCACATTCTCTTACCAACTCCTAGAACCTCTTCTGATATGGGAACAGCAAACAGGTTTGCAGCAGAAAGGGAGGCAGCAAGTGGAAGCACAAGAGGTGCAAGATCTGCTGGCTGTGTGATCATATTCTGACTTTGAGAGCAGGAACCCACAACCAGGCTATTTGTTACTAAACCAGGCTATTTGTTACCAAACCAGGCTGCAGCAGCCTGACCCAGGCACCACAGTTCAGGGGAGGGAAGTGAATCTGATGAGTATCAGATTTACATGGAGGAGAGATACGTTGGATCCAGCCCTTCCAGCTGCCCAGAATGGCTGCTGCACACAAAGGACTGACCTGCCAGCTCCTGCTTTCCTGATTAACATTCCAGACTCTGCACACAGGGAAACCCTGGTGGTAACACACGTGGGAAGATGTTTTAAATGCTTTGAGCTTATCTTATCTGCCTGATACATTTCAAGAGTGGTGCACTGCCCAAATGACAGTGTGTTTTCTCAGAAAGAGCAGCAGGTGTACCAGAAGGAGCAGCACTACAGAAACCTCAGCTGAAAATGCCTCCAACTGTGAAGTTTCTATAAAACAGATTAAAAAGAAAAAGATCAAAACATTGTCTCTTTGTTCCTATTGTTTAGCTAAAATCCAGCTGATTTTATGATGAGAGCTAGTCTCACTCCAGGGGGACTGAAGCCCCCCTTCCTGCATCCCCCACACACTTTGCACACACACCAATCCTGTTCCTCAGCAGACACAGTGACTTCTTACTGCAACACTCTCACTTCAGATCTCCATCTTCAAGCACAAGGGCTGCCTTTTTTAATCCCAGCTGCCAGCAGGGTCCCTGGACCAACAGCCTAAACCAGCATTCTGCAGGTATGGAGTTACCAGGATTCAGGATGTTCAGTCACCAGAGCTGAGGGTAAGATTTAACAGTGTAAATACCCATGAAGACATGGAGGACCACAAATTCTCAGCATATACAGAATCATGGAATGGTTTGGGTTGGAAGGGACCTTAAAGATCATCTAATCCCACCCCCTGCATGGGCAGGGACACCTCCCACCAGCCCAGGTTGCTCCAAGCCCCATCCAACCTGCCCTTCAACACTGCCAGGGATGGGGCAGCCACAGCTTCCCTGGGCAACCTGTTCCAATGTCCATAAAGCCTGCAAACATGACGAGCTTTTTATTTGGCATTTCTGTGTGGCCAGAAGCCAGCCATCAGCTCTGCACTGCCCCTGCTGAGGCTGAGCAGCACCACACCACAGCACCCAGCCAGTCTGGATGAGGAAGGTCAGGGAGACAGAAGCTGGCCAGAAACTTGAGGGCATTTGGCAAGAGAAGCAAGAGCTATGGAGACAGATAGTGCCTGCAACCTGCTGGGGGATGCTGCACAGAGCTGAACTCATTAAAGTTCCCTTCAGATCAGGATCTGGTCCTTGTTGGGGTTTCCTTCTGCTGCTCCAGCACAGCAGCCAGAGAAGCAGCAGGACCTTCAGCAGAGGATGCTCCAGCTCCCCTGGGCTCCCAGGGGACACAGTGAGGGGCCAGCAGCTTTAACAGCAGCTGCTCCAGGGGATATTGATCAGTGCTGTGAGGCTGAAACCAGCCTTGAATCTGCAGCACAGAAGATGGCACAGTGCCACCTGCACTGCCTCCCCTCCACAGCACAAAGCTGGGCTTGGCCTGAAGACACAATAAGACTGAGGGGCAACAAATAACCCCTGTATTACACCTCATCTTTCTTCTGCATTTCCACACAAGCACGAGGTTGCTGTTACCTGCCTTTTAGCTCAAGAAGCAACCTCTTCCAGACACTAAGAATTCTAGCCAACAGATTCACATAAAAACTGTTCTGGGAAGAAATCAGTGAGACTCCATCTCCATCCATACCATCCAGATGTCCAGTTTTGGAGAGCACCAGGCAGAGATGAGCACCAGGAGAACAAGTGACATGAGAACTAACCATGCCAGCCTTTCCTGGATATAATGCAACACACCCAGACCCAAGCACTATTAAATCCAGAAGACATTGTTCCTAGTTTAGATTTTACTGTCCGAGTAGAAAGAGCCACAGCTGGAGCCAACCTTTTCAGAAATTTGAAATGACATTTGCTTCAGAACTGGTTTTAAAGAGGAAAGATACCTTAAGTCACCTTCCCCTGAGCCACACTTATGCTTTAACACTGGTTACCAGAAATAAAAAAAGCAGTAAAGGTTTTTAGCTGTTTTTTTTTTTGTGTGTGCATTGATGTTTCATGGCTGATCATTTCCACCTCCAGCCCAACTCCAGACATTTCCTTCTCCCATTCCCTGCTCAACCACCACCTACAGGCTGGAGTCAGGCCCACACTCTGTATTTATGGAAAGCAGTTATTGCAGAGTGAGTTACTTTTGTGAGTGGGAGGGGAGCCCAGGAGGAAAGCTGGCACCACACAGCCCCAAGATGTGAGTCTCATGTTCATTAAATAGATGTTCCCACTGAACATACCCAGGAGCATGAAAACACCAGCTTTGGGAAAGCTTCTCAAGTAAAAGGTAACTGAGAGTTTCCCAGGTCCTCCTGCAGCAAAGGCAGGATTTTCAGGTTCCAACACACACCAGGAGGGTGTTAGGAAGCAGCAGGAGGTGATTATTTCTTCTCCCACATGACACTTTTGTCCTGGGACAACTCCAGTGGTCCAGCTCTTGCTCATTCCAAACCAGCACACAAGCTGTACACACACCTGTCCTTGTTTCATGTGTAGGGCTTTCAATTGCATCACCCTGGTAACCCATTTATTCTGCCTTGTTCACATTAACAAATATCTCAGTATTGAATTGACACAACCAGCAACCAGCTACACCACAGCCTGGGAAAAGGCCATCAGAGGGAAGGTTGTGGTGGACACCAGCATCTGAAGGGGCCATGGTGGCATTCA